AATTGGCAGTGACATTCTGATATGCAATCGTTTGTTTTCAGTGACATTGTAATATGCAATTGTTAGTTGGCAGTGACAATGTAATGTGCGATCGTTTGTTTTTAGTGACATTGTGATTTGAAATTGTTAGTTGGCAGTGACATTTTGGTGTTTAATTGTTAGGTGGTCGCAACATTGTGATGTGCAATTGTTAGTTCGCAGTGACATATTGATTTGTAATTGTTAGTTGGCAGTGACATTTTGATGTGCAATCGTTTGTTGTTAATGACATTGTGATTTTCAATTATAAGTTTGCAGTTGCATTTTGATGTGCAATCGATTGTTGTCAGTGACATTGTGATTTGTAATTATAAGTTGGCAGTGACATTGTGATTCGCAATTATATGTTGGCAGTGAACTTTGGTGTTTAATTGTAAGTTGGTAGAAATATCTTATAAAAATCACATAAAAAGCACAATAACCCCTTTTAAAACAACATAATTTAAATAAGCATTATGTTAATTTTGATGAGCAATCGATTGTTGTTAGTGACATGGTGATGTGTAATTGTTGGTTGACAGTCACACTATGATGTGCAATTGTTGTTGTCAGTGACATTTCGATGTGTAATCGTTAGTCGGCAGTCATATTTTGATGTGCAATCGTTTCTTGTCAGTTACATTTCGATGTGTAATCGTTAGTTGGCAGTCACATTGTGATGTGTATTGTTAGTTGTCAGTCACATTAATATGTGAAATTGTTGGTTGGCAGTGACATTTTGATGTGCAATCGTAAGTTGGCAGTGACATTTTGATGTGCAATCGTAAGTTGGCAGTGACATTTCGATGTGCAATCATAAGATGGCAGTGACATTCCGATGTGACGTCATTAGTTTGTAGTGACATTTTGATGTGCAATCGTTTGTTGTCTGACATTTTGATGTTGAATTATTAATTGGCAGTGACATTCTGATATGCAATCGTTTGTTTTCAGTGACATTGTAATATGCAATTGTTAGTTGGCAGTGACAATGTAATGGGCGATCGTTTTTTTTTCAGTGACATTGTGATTTGAAATTGCTAGTTGGTAGTGACATTTTGATGTTTAATTGTTAGATGGTGGCGACATTGTGATGTGCAATTGTTAGTTCGCAGTGACATATTGATTTGTAATTGTTAGTTTGCAGTGACATTTTGATGTGCAATCGTTTGTTGTCAGTGACATTGTGATTTGCAATTATAAGTTTGCAGTGACATTGTGATTTGCAATTATAAGTTTGCAGTGACATTGTGATTTGCAATTATACGTTTGCAGTGACATTGTGATTTGCAATTATACGTTTGCAGTGATATTTTGATGTGCAATCGATTGTTGTCAATGACATTTTGATACGTAATAATAAGTTGGCATTGATATTGTGATGTGCAATCGTAAGTTGGCAGTGACATTTTGATGTGCAATCGTAAGTTGGCAGTGATATTTTGATGTGCAATCGATTGTTGTCAACGACATTTTGATACGTAATAATAAGTTGGTATTGATATTTTGATGTGAATTCGATTGTTGTCAGTGACATTGTGATTTGCAGTTATAAGTTGGCAGTAACATTTTGAGGTGTGAAATTGTTAGTTGGCAGTGTTATTTCCATGTGCAATCGTTTGCTGTCAGTGATGTTGTGATTTGCAATAGTTAGATGGCAGTGACGTTGTGATTTGTAATTGTTACATATCAGTGTAATTTTGATGTGCAATTTTAAGATGGCATTGTCATTTTGATGCGAAATCGTTACTTGGCAGTGACATTTTAATGTGCAATCGTTTGCTGTTAGGGATATTTTATGTTCAATTGTTAGTTGGCAGTGACATATTTGTGTACAATTGTTAGGTGGCGGTGACAAATTACTGTGCAATCGTTAGTTTGCAGTGACATTTTGATGTTCAATTGTCAGTTGGCAGTGACATATTTATGTACAATTGTTAGATGGCAGTGTCATTTTTATGTACAATTGATACCTGGCAGTGACATTTTTAAGTGCAATCGTTTGGTGTCAGTGACATTTTGATTAGGGATCGTAAGCTGGCAGTGACATTTTGATATGCAATTGTTAAGTTGCGGTGACAAATTAATGTGCAATCGTTAATTGGCAGTGACATGTTAATGTTCAATTTTCAGCTGGCAGTGACACATTTGTGTACAATTGTTAGATGGCAGTGTCATTTTGATGTACATTCATCACTTGGCAGTGACATTTTAATGTGCAATTGTTAGGTGGCGGTGACAAATCAATGTGCAATCGTTAGTTGGCAGTGCCATAATGATGTTCAATTGTTAGTTGGCAGTGACATTTTGATGTGTAATTGTTAGTTGGTAGAGACATTTTGATGTTCAATTGTCAGTTGGCAGTGATATTTTGATATTCAATTGTTAGTTGGCAGTGACATTTTGATGTTCAATTGTTAGTTGGCGGTGACATTTTGATGTTCAATTGTTAGTTGGCAGTGACATTTCGATGTTTAATTGTTAGTTGGAAGTTACATTTTGATGTTCAATTGTCAGTTGGCAGTGACATTTTGATGTTCAATTGTCAGTTGGCAGTGACATTTTGATGTTCAATTGTTAGTTGGAAGGTACATTTTGATGTTCAATTGTCAGTTGGCAGTGACATTTTGATGTTCAATTGTCAGTTGGCAGTGACATTTTGATGTTCAATTGATAGTTGGCATTGGCATTTTGATGTTCAATTGTCAGTTGGCAGTGACATTTTTTGTGTACCGTTGTAAGGTGGCGGTGACGTTTTATTGTGCAAATGTTATTTTGAAGTAACGTTTAGATATGCAATTGTTTTCAGTGATATTATGATTCGCAATTGTGAGTTGGCAGTGACAACCCCATTTGAGCTGTATTCCTTCTTCCCTAGAAACAGTAGCAAAAGAGTGGCGGAAGATACCAAAGGGATATTCAAATTCAATAGTCAAAAACAAACTTACAACGCCATGGCAAAAAAACGATAAAACGACCAAAAGACAAACAACAGTTTACAAAACGCAACATAGAAAACTAAAGACTGAGCAACACGAAACCAACCAAAATCGGGGGTCATTTCAGGTGCTCTCCAGAAGGGTAAGCAGATCTGTTCCAGATGAGGCACCCATTGTGTTGCTCGTGTTAGTCCATACATAAAATAAACTAACCATGAATCATAGATAGGAGGATATCTTCAAACTTTTCTGATTTGGTTCTGAGTGGACTTGTTTACCATATATGGTACTATTTAGTTCTGAGTGGACTTCGTTGACAATATAGTTTTTTTTTTGGTTTTAAGTGGACTTTGTTGATTCTATAGGACATCATTTGGTTCTGATTTGATTTTATTGACTGAATAGGGAATTATTTGGTTCTGAGGGGACTTTATTGATTTTATATGGTATTATCAAGCTTCTTGGGGGACTTTATTGACTCAATATGGTATTATTCAGTTCTGAGTAGACTTTAATGACTGTATATAGTATTTTTAGGTTTTGAGTGAACTTTATAGACCCTCTATAGTATTATTAGATTCTGAGTGAACTTTATGGACTATATATAGTATTATTAGGTTCGGAGTGAACTTCATTGACTCTATATAGTATTATTAGGTTCTGAGTGAACTTTATTGACTCTATAGGGTAATTTTAGGTTCTGAGTGAACTTTATTGACTCTTTAGGTTATTTTTAGTTGTGTTTTAACTACCTGTGTTTCCGTCGTCTTAAAATTAGAGGAACAGTAGAATCCATGACAAACGTGATAATTTCAATTTTCCAATTTTCAACTTCCAATTCGTCAGCAGTAACATATCCTCTGCCCCATCATGTGGCGTTTACATATATTGATTCTGTAATTTCTTAGAACCACTTGATATGAAAACAGCATTATATTATTTGACACCGAATATGTCATGAAATTATACCATTTTTAATATTCTTAAATTCTAAGACCACATTGAATCTATTTTGATCTATTTGATTGGGTGACAATATCAATACTTTTCTCCATTTTAAAACTATAGTTATTATAGTAGATAAATTGAGGCAACAGTAGTTGACTGATGTTCAAATATCATAAATCGAGATAAAAGGAAAGAACAGAGGGAATCCGAAGAAGTCCACACGGAGCCAGGGTAATCGTCTCCTGCTGTGCATGCATCAACAGCAATGCAAATCCACGTTTAAAATGTGACAACGGGGAATATCAATATTGTCGAATAAAGTAATATTCAGATCTGCTGTAAATTGTATCATATTCTAAGCACTGCCTGTTGGATTTATTGTGGAAGTGTTAGTTTTTTTTATCAAAACACTAGCCCCCTCAACAAATAACACGGTCTTCTCGTACGTGGCTTTCTGATTTAAACTAAGTGTTTTTCGTCAATTTTCACCAGTGCCATTTTTTATAGTCCTATAATCTTTTCTTCGATTCGCAGTTTCATTAATTCATATGGTTTAAAAATTTAAGTAACATTTAATTGTATTTCCATATATTTCTATTGTATTCAACATAGATCGTGCGGAAAAAAAATAGTGTAATAACAGGTATATTTTTGTAGTGTTTTAACGTGTACATTTTTAAAGTGTGTCAAACCTTAAAGTTTTATTACAGTATTCTTTCAATAACATTATAGGTACCAATGTTTCTGAAACAGATGAGCATTTCAACAATTAATCTGAAAATCAAAAAATTAATTCGTTGATTCAAATAGAGTTATTACATCGATATCATGTACATTGTTCATTTAAAGAGAGAGAGAGAGAGAGAGAGAGAGAGAGAGAGAGAGAGAGAGAGAGAGAGAGAGAGAGAGAGAGAGAGAGAGAGGCAGCAGCAGCACCGCAGATTATTAGTGTGACATGATCTATTCTTATCGGATACATTCATTACCCAAAATCAATATCTTATTTATTGTTTACTTTAAGAAGTGGCATGTGTATTGAAATTTCGATTTTTAATCAAATGACATAAAAATATATACCTTGTTATCGTTATTTTTTATTAATGAAATAGACAAGGACACATTATAAAAAGAGATGCTTTTATCATCCACATTCTGGTGATGACATCGCTTTTAGAAGCATAGGCTTTTCAAAAAGAGTCCGTGATTGAGCAGTAGGATTGGCATGAACAGAGTTTCTCAAATGTACCCGCGAGGATTTGCTAGCTAACAGGATTATATTTTTCGGAATCGGACGGAAATGACTGATTGTATAAGATGCTTCTAGAATAGAATGTAGGCCCGTTGAGACAGAAAAATCCGAAACTTTCTTACTGTTGTTTCTACAGCATTTCCGGCATATAAGGTGTCGTAATCGTTTATGATAACTCTTGTTAAATATTGCAATTATTACTGGCGTCATAAAACAACATAGCATTGACCAAATCGTCTTGAAATTTACTAATTTAGACGACAAGCAGTCAGTCATATTTACTTTGACCACAAACCAAATTGCTTCCGGTATGCAAAAAATCAGATATGCAAAAGCAATAAAAAATAGCGATCTCATTGCACGCAAAGTTTTGAGTGGATTTTTAGGCTGGACATTCGACAGAACTATTGGTACGGTTGCTACTGCGAAAATACGATGCCGAAATCTAGCTTCTCTCACTATGATGCATAGGGCAATAATGATCACCAAAGTAGGAATAAGCGTTGACATGATCGTGAGAGTCAGCACATGAATTGTCCATGACAACCCGGAAAACATGCATAAGGATTCCTGAGCGTCAAAATGATAACTAATGTGTTCAATAAACGGAATACACGCAATCAGACAACTAATTATCCATAAGCAAAGAATTACAATTCCGGTAGAATAAGACGTTATAAGGCTGGAGTATTGAACAGGTTTATAAATTGCAATACATCTGTCAACAGACAGCATAGTAAGAGATAATGTCGCCGATATTCTTCCTGTTGTCATAAAATATGCTAGCACATGACACAACGATGAATCTGGAACCCAGTTCGCAAACAGATTTGCTACAGCAACAAATGGCATTTTGAAACACCCATGGATAAAGTCACTAAGTGCAAGTGATGTCACAAAAGCATTTGTGCATGTATGAAGACGTTTTGTGCTTTGTATTACGACTACCAGCATAAGATTGCACACTATTGTTAAGATTGCAAATAATATGGCAAATGCTGCAATTGTGTAGTCCGGTTTAGAAATTAAATGTTCACAAGCTGAATTATTCATTCCAATGAGAGAGCAAAAACCGCTGTGGAACTCGCTGTCGCTCAGACAAGATACTTTTATAAAAAAATTAATCTGTTATCTTTCTGGATATGTGTTGTAATCATTTTCTATCTCTTCCTTTCATTTCAGTCGAAATGTTCCTTCATTGCATCTGGTTCATACAATCAGCAAACAATGTATGGACGTACATTGAAAATTGGTTAAAAGATACTTTTTGTAGTTCATTGCATTCCGAATTTATTGCATTTATAGGTCGACAAACATCCTGTTATACCATTCAGCTGAAATAATAAGGATATTATAATATTATTGATTATCAATATTGTTACAATTTTCAAAACAATATAAATAAATGAAACACAAACATTGACGTTATGTCTTGTGTTATAAATAAAGATTAAAAACGAATACCAAAAACACGTATTTTGAAATGGTTAAATTTGACCCCTCAGCTAGGCATCTGCTTAGATATAGATATATAATAATCCTTGTATGGGAATCATGCGTTTGCATATGCGTCTTTGCGTTAAAGAAACCTAAATCAAATGTCCGGTACTGGAATAGTGCGACCCGAAAAATAATCCTTACAAAAAAAAAAATTTAGGGGTCAATAAATGACTCTTTGGGAGTCCATTTTCTAAAAAAAAATTACTACTACTCCCTATATTTCCAATGAGTTTTCAGGTTTTCTGCTCGATATATCGGTTGACCCTACGTACTGAACCTATTTAATTATCTTCTTAATTGTTTTTCCCTTGAATGTGCACCTAGTGTTAATCATGCACCATTCAGTCGTTATAAAAACATATCATCTCATCACCAAGTAAATTGCCTAGGAAAATATAATATCAGCACATTTTACAACATTATGATGGAAAAGAAACATGACATTGTGTATCATCAAAGAAACACTCAAGCAGTATAATAAGCTACATGATAAGATTGGTTGAGGGTAAAACAGTATAATAAAGGTTTAACACTAATACCGAACTCCAAGGTAAATTTAAAAGGGAAAAGTCCATAATAACTCACAAAATCAAACGTAAGACTTCATACCATAACAACTGACAAAATCAAACGTTATACTTGATACCATAACAACTGACAAAATCAAACGTTAGACATTCATACCATAACAACTGACAAAATCAAACGTTATACTTGATACCATAACAACTGACAAAATCAAACGTTAGACATTCATACCATAACAACTGACAAAAATCAAACGTAAGACTTCACACCATAACAACTGACAAAACCAAACGTTATACTTCATACTATAATAACTGACACAATCAAACGTTATACTTCATTTCATAATAACTAACAAAATCAAACGTTATACATCATACCATAGCAACTGACAAAATCAAACGTTAGACTTCACACCATAACAACTGACAAAATCAAACGTTATACTTCATACCAAAACTGACAAAATCAAACGTTATACTTCATACCATAACAACTGACAAAATCAAACGTTAGACATTCATACCATAACAACTGACAAAATCAAACGTTAGACTTCACACCATAACAACTGACAAAATCAAACGTTAGACATTCATACCATAACAACTGACAAAATCAAACGTTATACTTCATACCATAACAACTGACAAAATCAAACGTTAGACATTCATACCATAACAACTGACAAAATCAAACGTTAGACTTCACACCATAACAACTGACAAAATCAAACATTTAGACTTCATACCATAACAACTGACAAATTCAAACGTTATACTTCATACCATAACAACTGACAAAATCAAACGTTATACTTGATACCATAACAACTGACAAAATCAAACGTTAGACATTCATACCATAACAACTGACAAAATCAACCGATATACTTGATACCATAACAACTGACAAAATCAAACGTTAGACATTCATACCATAACAACTGACAAAATCAAACGTTAGACTTCACACCATAACAACTGACAAAACCAAACGTTATACTTCATACTATAATAACAACTGACACAATCAAACGTTATACTTCATTTCATAATAACTAACAAAATCAAACGTTATACATCATACCATAACAACTGACAAAATCAAACGTTAGACTTCATACCATAACAACTGCCAAAATCAAACGTTAGACTTCACACCATAACAACTGACAAAATTAAACGTTATACTTCATACCATAACAACTCACAAAATCAAACGTTAGACTTCACACCATAACAACTGACAAAATCAAACGTTATACTTTATATCAAAAACTGACAAAATCAAACGTTATACTTCATACCATAACAACTGACAAAATCAAACGTTAGACTTCATACCATAACAACTGACAAAATCAAACGTTAGACTTCATACCATAACAACTGACAAAATCAAACGTTAGACTTCACACCATAACAACTGACAAAATCAAACGTTATACTTTATATCAAAAACTGACAAAATCAAACGTTATACTTCATACCATAACAACTGACAAAATCAAACGTTAGACTTCATACCATAACAACTGACAAAATCAAACGTTAGACTTCACACCATAACAACTGACAAAATTAAACGTTATACTTCATACCCTAACAACTAACAAAATCAAACGTTATACATCATACCATAACAACTGACAAAACCAAACGTTATACTTCATACCAACACTGACAAAATCAAACGTTATACATCATACCATAACAACTGACAAAACCAAACGTTATACTTCATACAATAAAAACTGACAAAATCAAACGTTAGACATTATTCGTTTGATTTTCCTGGCATTATGTTGTCCTTTGGTGTACCCAAGGTAGGTGATGAAAGTCAACTTTGACTTGAAAAAAAATGTTTTATTCACATAATTATCTATGTTATGATGGGAACAGAAGTAAAATTGCTTTAACAATATCTTTACTAGACTAGAATACACGATTTCCATATTAGCGATAACGATTCTACAAAGCGTTTATATCGCTTTACTGGTTTAAAACTGGGAAAAACTAATCACAGAATGACAGGTGCATGTACACAAACAAACTCAAAATCTAAAAATGACGCCTTAGAAACGAAAATAGCAGACACAGATATCTTATAAAAACTGCAATAAATTGTCTGGCAATATCCCTGTACGGTAACAAAAGAATTATAAAACAGATTTTTCTTGTATTCTTTTAGCAAAGCCTGACAATAATGTCTAAAAAAGAAATGACAATTATGGAAAATCAATGCAGTGTCTTTATTCTTTTTACAATCAGTGCATACAATATCACTATAGGGATCGATCACTATTAAGAATAATGGTCTAGGAATCAAATATCACATCGATTCATTAAAAAGGAATAAAGCATTTTTTATATAAGATAGCGTGACATCAGTACTACGAAGTTATTACAGTTCATATGAAAATACATCAACAAACATCATATCTAAGAATTCAATGTGTCAAGCAATCTTAATATACACTCTATCTAAGAAATGTCACCTGTTTATTGTTGTTAAAAAATGGATGTTGGCATCTTGATGCCTTTTGGTTTTTTTTTCTTGGTGTGTTGATGCGACAATGGCATACACCATTCACCACTACACCATTATTAGTTAGATAGTGTGCTATTGACCTAATACGATATATATGGGGTCAATCAATTCCATATATGAAATTTACTAACCCCATATCTACCGTATTAGGTCACTAGCACACTATGTGGCTATTAGACTAGTGGCCTATCAAAGTGATGAAGTCTTCAATATCAAGAACTATTTCCATTCGTCTATACAAAAACAAATGCCAGCAATAACAACTTGTTAGCTTTTAATATGTTTTCTGCATTTATTTCAATCGTTCATCATCAATTTCTTCGTCTGTTGAAACCTTTCAGATTTTTCCTTAACGCCGTGTTGTTTTTACAAAGGGACGTAACACCACTTCTAACCATGTACTGAAATAAACTAATACTAACCTCATATGAAATATACATGGTCTCCACGCGGTCGCTTTTAACCAATCATATTCTTAAAAATGTATTAGAGGTAAGATAAACACCATTACATCATAGCGTGACATCTTTACTACGCTGTTATTATGCATGTTATAGTTCATATGACAATACAGCAATATACATTATATCTAAGAATGCAATGTGCTTTGTTGGTTTAAGTCATATCTTTTTATCTTTTATTGTTTGGTGTTTAAAGTGATAATGGCAAACAATTGATTGTTTTTGTCTCGCCTGCGACGAAAGTCGCGGAAAGCGAGATATAGGGGTGGCTTTTCTGGCGACGGCTCTGGCGACGGTTCTGGCGACGGCGTCAACAATAGTTACGTTTTCTGCTTAAGTTAGTTTGATAGGAACTACTTGTGATTGATCATTGATATTCAACAGAAAGTTGCATTACTATCAGTACATATCAGTTTGATGACTATTTTGAGGCCTTGCCCCCAAGGACACAGTCCAGTGACTTTGAATTAGTAAGCAATTTTCGATGTTAAGATTTCTGCTAAAGTTAGTTTGATAGGATCTACTTGTGATAAATCAATGATATTTTGTATGAAGTTGCATTACTATCAGTACATCAGTTAGAAGACTGTTTTGAGGCCCTGTCCCCCTAGGATATGGTCCAGTGACTTTGAATTAACTAGCAATTTTCATTGTTAATGTTTCTGCTTAAGTTAGTTTGGTAGGATCTACTTGTTATAGATCAATGATATTTTGTATGAAGTTGCATTACTATCAGTACATATCAGTTTGACAACTATTTTGAGGCCCTGCCCCTCGGACATGGTCCATTGACTTTGAATCAATTAGCAATTTTCAATGTTAAGTTTGTCTGCTTAAATCAATATTGAAAGGAACTACTTACATTAAATAACGATATTTTCTATTGCTTGTTGAGCTTTTTGAATATTTAAAATTTAACTGTTGAGAATGGTAAAATGCCGTAATACACGAGATATAGTGGTGGAATATGTTTCTCTAATGATTTTTATACGATATCTTAACAAAGTATATCCTTCCTTTTCATAGATTTGCAGAAAGTCGTGTTCTTTATATGTGACGTCATCAGGCATGGTCGTCTTTTTTTTTGACGTTACAATAGGAAATTCAGTAGAAATCAAGAATATTTGACGTCATAATTGAATGTTGAGAACAAAGTTTTCTCACGCTGATCAAGAAATGTGCAAATAGCATGAAAATTAGAGAAAATGTTAATAATGATAAAATGCTTTAACTAAAACACTGTCTCGTACACATGTGAAAGAAGAGGTAAACATATATAAAATACAGTCACATCAGATCATAGAAAGAAATAAAACAGCTCTAAAATACTTTGAAACAAATAAAGATACATTTTTAGTACCTTTTTATTGCACTATACTAGTAATCCTTTCATATTACTCTGGCTTGTGTTTTTTTCTGATATTTTTACTAAGATAGAATTACATTGAAATAAGTAATTGCATTCATTACCAATAGCATTCGAACACATATGACATACCCTCTCTTCTTTAGGAATATTGTTCTACCTAACCAGCACTACTGTAATTTTCATATTACAGCATCTTAATTAAGAAATATATTCACGTTCGATGATCAACATAATATCTTTGTTCAGTAGTGATAAATAGTTTCACTTTTAGTGTTTGAGTGTTCTTGCGTTTGTTTGTTTGTTTGTTTGTTTGTTTGTTTCATGTCACGTAGTGTTGTCATTTTAGCGGTATTTTGAACATTGTCATATTAGCGGGAGATTTGGCTAGATATAAAACCAGGTTCAACCCACCATTTTTTTCTTTAAATGTCCTGTCCCAAGTCAGGAATATTGCAGTTGTTATCAGACAGTCCATTTCTATGTATGTTGGCGTTTGCTTTTGTTGAAGTTCAGTGTTTTTGTTGTTTCGTTGTTTTCCTCTCATAGTTGATGTGTTTCTCTCGGTTTTAGTTTGTTACTCGAATTTGTTTTTGCTTAATCGAATTATGACTATTGAACAGCGGTATACTACTGTTGCCTTTATTCATCCCTTCAACCAACCATGCCCTTTTTTGTACACACTACGTAGTCTAGTTCTATTTTCCGTTCTCAACATTGGACTTTGTTGTTTTGCGGAATGGAAAATCAATCAACCATTCCTTCATATCATCACAAAATGTTATAATTTAGAAAGGACAGTACACAGCCATATCAACTAGCAATACGCGACTGCTCCGAAAAGAGGTCGACAAAAAACCAAAACAACAGCATACCGCATTGTCAATGGTTCTGGAAAAAATGTTGTAAGCTAAATCCAGTTTAACATGCGTATAAACATCAAGACATTTGTCATAAAAGTGAAATTTAAAATAAACAAAACAATTTTCGTTTAATAATAAAAGTGATTCTCTTACCTTTACACTATTCCTGAATTTATTTTTTTCTGAGAATTATAAATACCATTAACTGTCTATTCCATACCATTCGATAGTCATCTATCCTCTTTACTAAATGAAGCATAAAAACACATCATCGTAAATCATTTTCTCTGTTTGAAAATGACAAAATCGATGAAACATTGACTTTCAACTAATAATTTGCAATATACCTTACAACAGGTAAAAGAATGATTGTCTTGGTTCAATATAATACTAGTACAAAAGAACTCCCATGTATAGGTGGTTCTCAGATGACAACCTTTACATTTATATTGATTTAAGAATCTTCATTCATTGTGCACGAATTTATTAGAATCATTTTAAAAAGAAAATGTCATCATTCCATGTTTTTTTGTTGTATAAGAATTTAATGGAAATATTTTGAATATATTATTATAGAATCTACATTCATTGAACAAGAATTTCAGAGAACTATTTTGAATATATCATTACAAACTGTTCAATCATTATACAAGACCTTAATAGAGTTATTTTGAATATTTCATTATAGAATCGTCATTTCATCTTATAGAATTTTAATAGAATTGTTTTGAATATGTCATTATAGAGTTTTCATTCATTGTACATGAATTTCAGAGAATTATTTTGAATATAACATTATAGAATCGCCATTCGTTGTGTACAAGTTAATAGAATAATTTTGCATACGTCATTCATTGTACAAGAATTCAGTAGAATGATTTTGTATACGTCATTCATTGTACAAGAAATAAGTAGAATAATCTAGAATATGTCATCATAGAATCTTCTTTCATTCAAACAAAAATTGATAGAATCAATTTGATTTTGTTATCAGGAGAATCTTCATTTATTGTATAATAATGATAATAATAATTCTTTTTTTAAAGAGGGTTTCACATTTTGCTATAAGGCTATTCTTCTATGAGGCCTTCATAAGAACAAGAATTATTTAGAACAGGTCATTATGTTGATCAATTAAGATTTCCTTTCATGTTCTTTTAACGTTCATGTAACAATGTCTTTATTGCTCATTTGCTGTTACAATAAACTAACTTAACATCTTTAACTTTGTATTAGGATTTAAACCAATAAATAAAAAAATAACGCTTATTAAGTTTGATGCGTCCGAAGTGCTTTTCCTGGGTGAACCTTCACCAGGAACGCTTGGACCAAATATTTGAAAGTAACAGATGTATAAATACTTGAGTAGCTATGTAACCAAACGGGACCTACAAATAATAGTACTGCAAGTTCAATTTCCCTAAGAACTAAAACCAATTTACGAAGCTACTGTTCGTAAGGATGAAAAAATCTGTTATAGATAAACAGTAACATATGGGTTTCATAGGAGGCTTCAAAAACATATTTATTGTCCTACCTTATTTCTTATTTTGGACTAATCGTTATAAGAAAGTTTAGGAACTTGAAAAGCACAGGAAACTTACATGTAGCTAAACACAATAAGAAGGTAACCTTATTCATGTTATAGCTTGCAAGCAAATGTAAAACAAACCAATTGAACGACACTACATACAAAGATCTAGTATCGTTGTTACCAAAATAGCATTTTCCTGAGGTATATTGGACATTATTATTTCAGAAAACAGAATGAAAATGTATAGTTTCTGTCTTGCATATTTGCATAATGCTTTTGTACCTCTTACATTAAAAAAAAACTCCAACGAAAATCCAATTTCAGGCTTTTTAATTAGTAGTGGACAAGAACCTTCCCCAAAAAGGATGTTTTGTTATATAAAATCAAAGGCAATGACGATAAAGTAGGTAAAATATCCCTGAAGGTTACAAAGATTTGTTTAATAATTTCTTTTTTTTTCTTTATTTCCTTTTCATACTCATTATCACTTGCTTTAATATTTATTCGGGTTATCTTCTTAATCACTATACAAGTTTCTTTTACCCACCAGAAGCATTGCATATTGGTCAGGATTGACAGATCAAGGTTCAGACGTAGATGATGACGGATATACATTTGAGGAAACAGTTGTTTGCTGCTGTTCAAATCTCATAGATACATTAAGACATTACCAATTATAATAAAAAAACCAACTCCTGAAGGAATTGCATCAACTCAAAAAGGTGCGAGACCAGGTGCGTCAACAAGGATTGCATGCACTAACAAACATCTTAACCCACACTCAGTCAAAATGTCATAATAGGGAGAGGGCCTCGGTGGCCGAAGTAGACGAACTACTGTATCACTAGCCAGTCAACACTGAGGTTGAGAGTTCGCATCCCGCACGTGGCAGGTGCATTGGACTCCAATCTTAATCGACTAGGATGATCAGTTTTCCTACCGAAGGTCGGTGGTTCACTCCGAGCACTCCGGCTTCCTCCACCAATAAAAATGACCGCCACGAAATAGCACAATAGTGTTGAAAGTGGCTTTATACACCAATCAATCAATCAATCAATCATAATAGGGAAATAGACACCATCGTTAGATTTATAGATCAGACGACTATTCTGGTATGTGAAGGAATAAGACGGCAAACACCTGTCGCTTGTGAGTTGAGACAAACACATCTCGCATCGGCCAACCAAATCATGTTGATGATCGTACATTAATGAAGTGTCAATTTCAGGTCTTTCATCCTCGTTACTTTTTCGACCAGTTTTTGTTTAAGCAGTACACCCCTGTCAATGAAATCCGGATAGTGTGAATATGCACGAGCGTAACGTATCAATTCAGTTATTTAAATGGCATACGATGGACAGAGTGTAGTTATGCTGAGAAATAGGATGTTGACAACTGGAAAATTTAAACCATCACAATTGTCATAAGTTGTAGTTAGTAGTGGTACATCTGCGTCAATATCGAGGAAAAGATGAAGACATGAAGCAGACTTTCTAGTTTCCGGTTGAAGACCTAATCCAAACTACCCTGAGATATGCGAGATGCAATCACTCACTGAAATGTGGATCATAAAGTGACAAGACACCATCAATATATTCGAAAATTAAATAAAAGAACTTTCTAAATAAAGGCAACAGTAGTATACTGCTGTTCAATAGTCAATAACCGATTAAGCGAAAACAAACTAAAACCGAGGGAAGCACATCATCTATAAGAGGAAAACAACGAAACAACAGAAACACTGAACTGCAATAAAATCAAACGCCAACATACATAGAAACGGACTATTTGATAAAATAGGTTCGAGATGTTCCTGTAAGATTGTGCTTTGTCTATATACCATTTTGTATTTCTTTGTTGACATATATGTTTGTTTTTATAGTGATTAAGATTATAACACAATATTGACTACTGCACCCCTATATTTAACATTTTTACCTATTGTGTCTGTTTGTATTGTTGTCAATATAATAGAATTTTATGCGACTGTCATACAAGTGAGAGGTTCAGCTAGCTATAAAACCAGGTTTAATCCACCATTTTCTACATAATGAAATGCATGTACCAAGTCAGGAATAAGACAGTTGTTTTCCATCCGTTTCGTGTGTTTGAACTTTTGATTTTGCCATTTGATAAGGAACTTTCCTATTTTGAATTTTCCTTTGAGTTCGGTATTTTTGTTATTTTACTTTTTGCATAACTCTGCTTTTTGTCGTTTTTGGTTTTAATAGCGCTTAATGTTTGTATTAGATTTAGGACTTTCAAATATTTTTGCATTGATCATCTCCGAGGAGACATTAATTGTCGGAATGCGAATCTGAACTGCTGCAGTAAAATTGGTACCGTTAATGTTATAATGGTATTCTATTTTTTAACGAAACAACATGTGGAGCAGGATCTGCTTACCCTTCCGGATCACATCAGATCACCCCCATATTTTGGTGGGATTCGTGTTGCTCAGACTTCAGTTTTTTCTGTTGTGTTTTGTGTACTATTGTTTGTCTGTTGGTCTTTTTCTTTTTTAGCCGTCAGTTTGTTCTCGACTTATGAGTTTGAATGTCCCTTTGGTATCTTTTGCCCCTCTTTTTACATGTGAAAGACAATTAACACAACAATTTAAAATATATGACACAAAATAAACTTTTGTGAATGTTATCAATTATAATTCATATTAAATATATTTTCATCATTGCATAATTATTAAAGCTGAGTTGTGTTCTCATTCAAAATTACTTCCTTATCCAGTTTGTTTTTCAAGACTTTTTTCTGTTTCCCATTGATAAATTTCCTCATAGCTTCCCGTTCCTTTCCTGTTAATTGACCAAACTGTCGAAGAATGGCATTATCTTGTTCGATTTTATTATTCTGACCTTCTATCACATCGTTAATTGGAATAGCTTCTCTGACTACTTGATCGAGATCGAGTAATCTTTGCCTTACTCTCTTATTTCTCACCTTTTCTATCATACATTGTATTTCCTTCTTTTTGTTTTCTTCGAATACATATTGATAGTCTTCGGTCCTGGCGGATATTCTGCTATCTACAGAACCCGACCTTTGCAAAACTTGAATGGCTAGGAGCAGATTTGCTATCTCATCAGGTTTTTCTTTGATGGATGTGGTTGCAGTGATATGAATCAATGTCGATATCCGATGGTATAGCATACAAATAAATTGAATACACAGAAGAATTCCAAAGACAATGGTGAAGGTCACAGATATCGGTTCAATTGACATACATTCGATTTTTATTGAGAGAGTATCGCTATATGCAGTAGTCTGTGTCAAAGCGTAAATTAAAGTAACCAGAAAGGCGTTTATAAGAAAGAAAAACAAGCAACATTTGTTCCGTAGTGCTATTAGTTCTTCTTTTATCATCTTCTCCTTTACATCATTTTTCTCTAGTGGTTTCAAATATTTTTCAATTAGCTGTTCCCAAAACGTTTCTTCTTCTTTGGTTAATGGCTTCGCCGTTTCAAAATTTACAGTCTTTGTCTGTGTCTCTTCTTGAATTTTGTCATTATGAATTGTTATCCTGACGTCAGTTACAGATACTTTCGTTTCCTCTAAATTCGTGGTATTTTCTACTGAAAAATTGGAAGAACTGTATATAAAAAATGACGTAAGATGACATTCAACATGAATCAGGTATTTTGATTGGTAAATAGTTTTATGAATAGATGTTTTATAGCTTGATAAAACTAACAGTATTTGGACCCGATCACATTTACCAGACTACTTTTGATCGATTGCGTTGCTTGTTTTTATTATCTTCTTTTATGCTAAAAATAAATTGTGGAGATGGCCCGTATAAATCAACAAAATAACTTTTCCAACAATACTAGTTTAATAATTGCCTATTGCCTAGAGTTATAACAAAACCAAAAGATGTGCCTGTAGTGATTTTGCATATTGAATTATTACTCAGTATCCTTTCTTCTCCTTTACATAAGCTGACTGAGGGATTGAACTACGAGTAGATATTTGAGTACACAAACCCATCACTGTATTGTTTTTATTAAGACATTCGTGCGATAAAATTGATTCACAATTTTCCGTTTTGAAAATATTTAAAACGGTTCAAGGTCTACATACTATCTCCTATCTATCCTCTTATTTTGTGGGAGCATACTCAGTAGTTTCGATTTTAATTTACTCGTTAAAACACAGAAAGCAATTTTCTTGGCAGACTATAAAGCCTTATTCTTAACGTGCATCTTCATTCTAGGGATTTGCAACTGGACATTAGGAAACCATCATTCACCTTAAGATTTTGAAAGAGTTGCTTCAATCGTTGGTTTTCCGTGAAGTGTTTTGTCGACTTTCGTTTATTTGTTTGGTTATTAAGTGTGTGTGTGTGTGTGTGTGTGTGTGTGTGTGTGTGTGTGTGTTGTTTGTTTTGTTGTTACTGATTTGTGGGTTTTAATTTCCCCTCTTTTATCTTTTTTTTCACATATTTTCATTTCGATCAAAACGTCACAATTCATTAGTTGTTCTTTTGTTAAATTGATATACCGTCTTTATCATCGATTGATTGCAGCTTATGTTCACCATCTGAAGTCCTTTTGAGTTCATGTTCAAGCGACTTTATTCTGTCTAGTATTGTCTGGTACATAATGTCCTGCTTGTGTATTCCCCCCATTGGACACCAAATACACCTGAAACAAAACATCTAACTCGTCGGAATAATTAAAAAAGAAAGGGGGAGTGTCGACAGACACACTATTTGAAGCCAACTTACGCTATCTCTTGAGGTCAACTTATGGTTGAGAACAAAACAAACGAGAAAATTTTAGCCCTCCAATTGTGGACTTTACATTTCAATGTAGCAAAATTCAAGCAGCACCTGTACATTTCTCTTAGCTTACATGATATTCTAGAACTTGCATTTCATATTATGACTTGCATGATATAGTGTTGCTGCTTACAAGGAAGCTATTGAACCAAGAGTTTAAAGCGGTAAATTTGAAATCATCCCATCACGACTTGACCATTATGGAATATCAGTCTCACAGATGACGACGGAAATGTTCCAGTTGTTGTAACCACAATCCCGTCATCTTTTTCTCAAATGTGACCAACCGAATTAGATTCATCACTGGGTTTGTACTTCTTTTGGCAACACGGCAGGTGCCACATGTGGAGCAGGTTCGGCTTACCATTCCGAAGCACCTGAAATCAACCCCGGTTTTTGGTGGGGTTCGTGTTGCTCAGTCTTTCTATGTTGTGTTCGGTGTACTGTTGTTTGCCTTTTCATGGCATTGTCAGTTTGTTATCGACTTATGAGTTTGAATGTTTCGTTGGTGTCATTCGCCTCTCTTATACGAACGTCATCAAAATATTATACCTTGAATTGTACCGAATCTTATTATGATATAAGTAAACTAACATGGATTTTTAATAAAATTCTCGATTCGGGGTCTTACAACAGCTGAATACTTAAAGAACGATGCCTTAAACTATGCTTTATATTGTAAAATTTTAAATTCTAAAAATCTGCCAGTGTCCTTTTGTCTTTATGTTCAGTACCAGTAATTTCCTTTTTATTTTGCTTAGTTGAAGAACCAGTGTAGAAAATTGTAAAAGAAATGGTTTCAAAAAGACATTAACCCATATTTTTTTCGTATGAAGAAAACGTCTTAACGGAATCCCCTATACATTACGAAAACATATTCGATCTTATTATGTAGCCTACCTTAATAGGAGATCATTTGGATATATCGAGACGCAATTGTTTATGAAGCGTTGCAAAATAAAAATGATTTAAACCTAGCACATGGTAGCTACAGATCATGCAGTATCTTAAAAATGAGAAAGAGAACCAGCTTGCACTAGAACAGAACTCATATGTGATCGATCATCTATTTTTTATCTTGTAAATGTGCCATTGACGAGTTAACCCTGTTTTATTTGGTAGTTTACCATGTCGTGAGGGTAACAAGTTACCATGACGAATGCCTATATCCATGACTTAGTAATGCGGACATTAACATACCTAAATATTTTCCCAAGCGATAGTGTGTATCCTGATTCTGTGTCTTTCATTTGGTTCTCCGTTTTGTTTTTTTGGACGACTGGCTGTTTAACCTCTCGTGTTCCCCAAGAAACAACGTGCAGGTTGCCAAGTGAATACAGTAATAACAACATTGACATTGATGGAATGGAAACAAAATATAAAATTCCATGCATGATGCACGAGAATTCCTAAAAAAATACATAAATTTTAATATATTACTGGAGATGAGGCTTCATAGAACAAAATGCCCATAGATGTTCCAATAAGCTTCCAAAAAAACACAATGTAACAACTCATTTTATCAAAACGAGCGGTCAAATATCAAGAAGTAAATTGATGTTCTACTACTCTGGATTGTGAATAATATAAATCTTGAATTACTGAACAATCAGAAAGCTATATGTATGTTTTAACTACGAAGTTAAAATACTTGTATGAACTATTTCTATTGGTTCACTCTTTTGAAATTGATCTACGTTTTCTTTCACTTATGCAATGCTTTTTCTTTCAAAGTCTTTTACGAGTTTTTAAGATAGTTTTTAACTATTGTTGCATCTTCATCTTGGCTAATGTGTTCTAAAGACCATGTGCTGTTCAAGATAATAATACCTTTGGGTGTAAAAACGCTGAGATGATAAACACTCCTGCCACGAAGCATAGGAAAACTGTAGTGACAGAACATAATTCTTCTTCCGCCGCTTCTTTAGTGATACCTACCAATACCAGTAACATAACAATGGAGTAGATTGCTGACAAAATCCCAGCAAAAAGTAACTGAAAATGATATTTTTATCTGAATATAAGTGTGGACACAGATCGGTGTGTATAGTATTTGTTTAATTTGTGTTAGTGTGTTTCACAGTGTTATCTCCACTGAGTTTATGTATTAGTTTTGCCGCACAAAAATAGATTGCTTCAAGACAAGTGTAACTGTTTGTAATCTTTAATTGCACTTTTCATCTTAAGAGCATCTGAAAAGTCTGAACATAAACACGTTAAATCTTGAGATATTTTCTTATTGTTAATTCTCTACTGTTCAGAAACTTTGCTTATAGTCAAACTAGTACTGTTTAGCTTTTCAGGCAACTTTGTATGTTGTTGTTTTGCACTGGTAAACATCTACTGAATAATCTGAAGAAAGAACGTACCGATTTTTTTTTTACTGCAAGTGAAGTTTCTAAGCAGTATGGATTTACAGCAATGGGTGTCCAAAAATTGACTGAAAGACCGGACATGTCTCACTACTTATTGTTCTGTTCGGTCTTCCGGTTCAAAATCGACTTATAAGTGGTAGGAAATAAAAAATAATAAACAAAAATCTTAACCTTAACTTCTATTGTTTGTTTATCCCTTAGCAAGCAAGAATGCCAGCAAAATAAATTGCACCAAAATCCTATGCAAACCATACCTGATATAATGATTACAAGATTGTTGTTTTAAAGAAATATAACGAAGTCAAAATGCCTTCATGTATTAGATTAAATAATATTGAAGGTCGGTGGTTTTCACCGGGCATTCCGGCTGCCTCCGCCAATAAAATCTGACTGTCGCGAAATACAATAGTGCTGAAAATGGGATTAAACATGCATCAATCCATTATGAAGATGATGCCCTCTTTCTTAATAATATGTTTAGTGATAATGCTGATTGCATTTATTCAGTAAATTTAACTATATCACAAATACAATTAAATCTGCTATATGAACAAAACTTTAAGACAAAAGAGATGATTCCATTTTTTCCGTTTGTACTTTTGATTTCTGACCAACAACATGCAAGCAGCACCTACATATGAAATGTATAAAGCATAGGGGAACACACATATTTATACAAAAATATATGTCACAAATAACTTCAAACATATTCTACCAATTGCAGCATAGCGACAATTATTATCCCTTTCCTCGAATCACCGAATGTTGACTTGCTCCATCGGTTACTTCTTTCCACGGAAACCACGTGATGAGCAGGAACTGCTTACATTTTAGAACATCTGGGTTAACACCCTTTTTTTTCATTTGGTTCATGTTGCACAAGGTCTATGTGTTATACTTTTAAACGCTGATATTGTATAATTTTGTTAGACTTAGGGTTTGGGTTTCCCTTGTAACTCATCCTTCTTTTTCGGGATTAAAGGAATCTGCGGAAGGAGGACAACAAGGACATCTTATACAAAAACTTTATTATACCACAATGAATAATAACAAACATTTTTTTTAGATAATTCAAAATGATAAGAACATTTTGGGTCTTGGAAATATACGATAAAACAATAGTCTTTCAGACTTTATGCATAAACTTACTTGTGTTTCTGATTTTGTGAATATGCAAGACAACATAAACAATCCAACAGGAATAAGGTTCAAAATCAATGACAGCCATGGTGGAACAGACGGAAATCCTACTATAATGGCGCCCACAATCATCAAAAAAATAGTTCCGGGGGTAAGCAACGATGATATAAACAGAAACAGTTGGTAGGCCATATAAAGGGTTGATATACTTTGATTTTGTGTCACAGTAGCTCGACAATCTGTTAACAAATCTAAGATGTTTGCCATTGTTGACGGGGTCCAGCGCCGACGTTGATTATAAAACTCATTGAATCCTTCCGGTGCATAGGTCAGTGCATCACTTTCAGCACAGTATTCAACACGGTGTCCTTGTTTCAATAGTAGTGTGCACAGCCATCGATCTTCACCTGAAATAAAATTGAGAATGGAAATGGGGAATGTGTCAAAGAGACAACAACCCGACCATAGAGCAGACAACAGCCGAAGGCCACCAATGGGTCTTTAATGCAGCGAGAAACTCCCGCACCCGGAGGCGTCCCTCAGCTGGCCCCTAAACAAATATGTATACTGGTTCAGTGATAATGGACGTCATACTAAACTCCAAATTATACACAAGAAACTAAAATTAAAGAAGATACAAGACTAACAAAGGCCAGAGGCTCCTGACTTGGGACAGGCGCAAAAATGCGGCGGGGTTAAACATTTGAGATCTCAACCCTCCCCCTATACCTCTAGCCAATGTAGAAAAAAAAATGACAATAATACATAAATAACAACAGACTACTATCAGTTACTGACATGCCAGCTCCAGACCTCAATTAAACTGATTGAAAGATTATGTCTTCATCATATGAATATCAGGCACAATCCCTCCTGTTAGGGGTTTAGTATTATACCATCATAAAATATATGAGAAGAACATAATCCGTGTCATGCCAACAACTGGTTTTAGAATAAATATGTTTAATTCCGATGCAAAGACCATATAAGTGAATCAATATTAAAGCCAAAATATGCAATCTTTAATGACCTGACAATAGTATCGTAACTATATCCCTTCTTAATAAGTCTGTTTAAAGGTTTGGTTAACTTTTGAGGTGAATACTGATATTTTTGTGCTTTGTAAAGAACATTACCATAAAAGATTGGATGTGAAATACCCGAACGTATAAGATGTCTGCATGAAAGGTTATTTTCTTGTTTATTACTTTTAAAACCATTTGTATTTCAAAATTGAAAATGCAAATTAAAATTCTTAATAAAAAAAACTTTCACAAAACGTTTAAAAGTACAATGATACACTTCAAACCGTTAATTAAAAAAACAAGACTGAAACATAACGGTTAACTGCAAAAATACAAACAACTGACTGTTTAACAAAGAAATATATAGACCTTAGCATAATTTGATATTGAGTATTAGGCACAACAGCGACTAAAATGTGCATGAGAATCGAGACTAGATAAAGACAATAAAACCTTGAAATAACAGTGTAGGTTTAATCTTTAAAAAAACCTTTACGAGTAAAATTAAAAAATATATGAGCCTTGCGTTTCTGTTAGAATCAACAAAAAATGATACAACCGATTCATGAAGGTGGCACTAGAATTGAAGGGTATTCAGTATAACTGGATATTGCTCCCTGGTTTAAGTGGCTTTGGATTAACAAAGATTACGTTTGTATTCTTAATTTGTTGTTTAAGGAATGACTGTAATATTTTTTCTGTCTATGAAGAAATAGCATCAAAAATGTGGTGTACACTGAATAACCCGCGTAGCGGGTTATTTAAAAGTGTGCACCACATTTTTCATGTTATTTCGAATAGACAAAACAAATATTACAGTCATTTCTTATAATTTAATTCTAAATTCCATTTTAAACTGGAGTAAACCATGAAAAAACGTTGATGACGTCACGGTCACATGACAAAATTATGTCTATGAGCTGATGAACAAAACAACGTCAGCCAATCAGAAGACGCGTTACATCCAAAATTAAATTATTGATATATATGCCGCACATTCTATATCATATCAACAGAAACAAACAAACAAATATAACGACAGTGGTAAAAAATGTACCATAGCGTACCAATTTAGAAAAAAGTCCATTTTTTCGATCGGTTATGTCGCATTTGGTTTTAGACCTTGTAAATAGGAGACTTCTTAGTATGCATTGTATTATTTTTTTCTTCATTTAATTCAATGTTACCGTACCTTGATCGTACTGTATGAAATGCCTAGCTTCAGATGGTTCAGTTGTATACGTTTTCAATACGTCCATTACTGCAGAGCCTCGGAACAAACTGAAGCATCCGGGACTACACAGTACACATCCAATAACATGTTCGGTTGCCTTTTGAAGCCAGTGGCTGACTGCATATTCAAATTTTTGATACCACACAAGTGGACCTACGTTGGAGAAAATATAATATGATGTTAAATATTCTTACAGTATAATACATTCAAAATTTGCCTGAAAGAAGTACTAATCTTCGAAGTATCTTAAATAAGAAAAAAATATATTTGTAAAATTGTGTTATGTTAAGTACAAGGGAACTTCCATTAAATTAAAGATCAATCCATACAACGTGCATCTGTTCACTTTACATTACAACGTTCAAAAACCAATAAGATAAAGTATTTAAGATGTAATTTTGCATATATATTGAAGAATTTTGAAATCTGTGAATTCATCATTATTCGTGGGATACGTATTCTCGTAGATTTTGTGGGTAAACGTACACCAAGAATTTAAATATTCAACCAAGTATACTTTTTACAATATTTGGTAAACCCAGGTGATCAAATATCCACGAAAAAGTATGTTTTCCTCATTCAAGGAAAATTGGAGCCATAAAAAAGATGAATCCACAGTATGTACTTCCTCGTAACGGTAACGAAACCATGCAATGGTAGTGGTCAGACATCTCTCTAAATTGAGTTAACTTGAAAAATAGGACTTATAGGGTTAAGGTTAGGGGGTTGAAAACATAATTTGTGTTATAGTATCACGCTAACAAGTGATAATGTACAGAAAATTGCGTATCGATAATCATGATGAATTATAATTCTAACCGTGGCCAATCGGATGAATTCTTCCACATGCAGCTCCAACCATTGGATTTTTTCTCATTCGACGGACAAGATGCATCACTGCTTCCGGTTGAAAATCTACATCGCCATCTAGTGCCAGTAAGAAAGTGTTGTAGGAATTATCAACAATTCTGTCAATTTTATTAGGAAGTCGATAACTGAGGAAGTAGTACATATACATCACCTTTAAAATAGATAACTGCAAGTAAAGCTAAGAAAAGTATAGCGGAAAGGAGATTTCTGAAGTAAGGACTAAGTTACGGGAATTCTACATTGACTATGCTCAAGGGTCCAATTTTGTTGCAAGCCATTCGAAGCTTTAGCAGTATCATTGATATACAATATGTGTTCTTATTAATTATTTGTCATGAACAGAAATTCTGTTTTCTGAACATCAGAGAATAAAAACTGCTTCAAAATATATTTTTGTGATTTTTGTTGGACATTTACGATATCACCAATTGTGCGCGCCACATATTCAATGCCACTTAATGTTTATCGCTTTTGCCATAATGGTTGTGATTTTAACCATATCTTTATATAATTTCATCACTGATATAGGAATATTTGTTGTAAGGGTCTATCTCTGCGATGTTGAGAAATTTGTTCCAAAGAGTTATACATCATGCGTCAATTTTAACAACTGATATCAAATAGGTCACTCAACATAATTATGAACTATTGTTCCTGTCAATTTAAATTTATATTCAATGACAGGTCAAGTCCTTAACATTATAATATCAAGTGGTCTTAAACTTTGACCTTAGACTATGGTATATTTTGTTGGGTTATCATAATGGTTAGCTACTGTACTAAATATTTTTGCTGCAAAGTGGCGAAAATGTTTCACACATTACCTGACTCCATCGTTTTTTGTGTCGAATTTTTGTTTTGTCTTTCAGATGACACACAAGAGAATTTCCTCCCAACAATTTCCAAGTAAGTCTTCCTCCGTACGGCGTCCTAATCATTTCGTATTCTTCAAGTTGTATAACAGTTCGATGCACTGCACTTTAGTAAATGAAACAATTTTTTATAATTTTGAAATATGATTTAGTCAAAGTCTCCATGCATATTGAAAAATGTGATATAAGAAAAGAAATCAAAGATACAGGCTAATCTATGTAAATTACTTTAAAGTGGTACATAACACTACAGGGAGATAACTCTGTAACAATCAGCTGAACGTTTTAATCACGTTGTTTTGTTAAGGAAATATTAAGATTCTCAATGATCAAAATTAGTGTTTGTCAAACTGCTATGTATCCAATGAAATTTTTCCGATACAGTGTGTGGTTCAAATTTTTTGAAATTTTTATATTTTTGCCAAAGGGTCAAAGTAAATATTTTGTCAAAATTTTATGAAAATTAAACGAGCCAAATTAATTTAAGTCAAGTTGTTTGGTACCACCTCAAGCTTACAACTGAACAAAAACGAACAAATAACCTGGTGTGTAAGTAATTGTAGTGCATTACGATCTTCATTTGTTTTATCATTAACTTTTTTTTGTAAACTAAAAGCAAATAAGGGGTGAATCTGCATATGTTGTAGCTACACATGCTTAAGTTGGTCAGGGAAAATTGATGTTATAAGTTATATATGTATAAAACAAAGACAATCTTTAAATTTTATAAACAATTAAATTATGGCAATGTTTATATAATAAAGAACATTCCACATGATACCAGTATGTTGGGTTGATGTACAAGCATTAATCTGATACGAGGGTGTGGATGGGGGATCCTTCTTTACTGTATTATTTAAATTTTTTAGTTCATGCTTCTCCTTTTTTATATTTTTGTCCCATTATTCTCTATTTTTTTATATTTTAGCATCCACTTATTCTCTATTCTTATTTTTTGGTTCATTTTTCTCTATTTTTTTTTTTTTTGCCCTTTAATCTGCACTTTTTTTCCATTCTTCTCTATTCTGTATACCCCATCCAGACCCTCTTATACTAATAACCAATATATTTATGAGACAGTTTTCATTCCTTTTACTTTTATATAACAACTTACCTCGCAGCTGTATCCATTACCTTGATCAAAATTTTCACATAATCATTTACATCTGGGAAATCTTGATCTATCCTCGGGCTTTCAAAAGCGTCATCAAAAAAGATATGAGCTACAAATACAATAGTGAAAAGTACACAGTCATGCATATTACAATAAGATGTTGTAGGATTGCCAATGAAAAATCTATCCACCAAAGATCAAATAACTCCGAATCTGCATTCATTCATTGATATAAGTACATATTTTATAACCATAAGACGTTGAAGTTAAATGCCATTGGGTGTTTTACCATACAACTGGAGATAAAGAACAGCATTAAAAGCACTGTTCCTTTGTGTTTGTTTTGCTGTGTATGTACTGATCTTGTGTCATGGATGGATACCCCATATCCTTTATTTATCTATTGTCATTCCGTTTATTCATTGTTTTATTTAGAGGAGAAAATAAGAAAATTTTGTATGTTTGCCAATGAGGCAACTCTCCACCAGAGACCAAATGACGTAGAAAATAACAAGTAAGACTGCTTATTTTTTTTTCAAAATAAAAAAAACGTAATCTTATTTTATTTATTTCAACATACACGCCGTCTGCGTCGTTTTGGTCTCTTGTCTTATACTAGTTTTGTGTCTTCTTTCCTATTTATTTCTTTCTTTCTTTCTTTGTTATATGGAAGAATATTCTTACATTTTCAGATCACCTGATTTCACTTAAAGTCTTTGGTGATTTTTTGTGTTGCCGAGTTCATTTGTATGTACAAATGTCGTGATGGTTATTTTTTCCTTGGCCTAGTTTGTGTTTTGTATTTGTATGTACAAATGTCGTAATGGTTATTTTTTCCTTGGCCTAGTTTGTGTTTTGTATTTGTATGTACAAATGTCGTAATGGTTATTTTTTCCTTGGCCTAGTTTGTGTTTTGGCCTTTTGAATACGATAGTATGCAGTTTTTAATAGAGAGGGTAATCTACCTGTATGCAGTTTTAAACTATCTCTTATTTTCTAACCTTCAAAATCGTAGTCAAGGAGGTTGTCTTTATCTACATTGGATTGTCTAGCAGTTTTTATCATGTGGTGGTGTTTATCCATTCTACAATACAAATTTTATTTTCTAAAATGTGCATTTTAACTATTAGCAAGAAACGAAAACCATCAAAAAAAGATTGTGTGTGTACTTTCAGATTGTATCATTAACTCAGTAGTCAGTGCTTCGATACTGACATGAGTTTTAACAAACTTCCAACGCCCACAGGCAAAGTTGACCTTTGATGAAATCGACTATTTGTATGTCCCTTTTGATCATACAGCTCTTTACGAGTTTAGATCTTACACATCATTGGCAATCAAATGTTTCGGTTTGAGCGTTTCTGATGAAGGTAAATACAGAGAAGCGGATCGGACGTACGAAAGTAATATAGTGTTATTTTCATTGTTCATTTCCCGACATTACCTTCTCTGCTTGGATATAAATTTGACCAATAAGAATTATGTTATAATGTATCGTTCAATGTGTAAAACATGACTGTAAGCTCATAATAATTAATATGATGACCATATTTGAAAATAAAACGAAATATTAACCTGTTATACAAATAAAAACAAATATGCCCTAAATAATTTAATTCGCAATATGCACCTTCGAAAATTTATTTCTCGTCACCAAATATTGGAATTTAAACCTGTTTAAGAAAACTACCCCTAATTTCAAGTCCAGTTCAGAGGCGGAATAAGGGGGCGGCATCCCACATTATGAAGACATTACGTCCCACTCCTAACGTTGCCTTACCCCCCTTTTTTTACAACCCTGGATTCGTTAGTACAGTTAGTGTGGATCGAATCCGGGTTAATAGTATCGCATTCTACGTGTGAACTTAAAGATTATCCGAATTAACACGAGGTTGTTTCTATAGTAACACATGCAGGTTTCGTCATTCGAAATCAGAGGTGTCAGACCATGGACGAGTCACTAAAATCAGCTGTAAGCCTAAACAATGCAGTATCACATTGAGCAATGAAGAGACAACGGATTACACATATTTTGTAAAACAAGGGAAAGAAGATGGTAAGTACCGGTTTCCATTGAAATACCCAGCGACCAATTTCACATAAAATCTTACGACAAAAAATACTTGTAAATAATAAACATTTTAGCTTTCAATCAATTATTGTTGTCAGATTCTTTGTGAAAAGAGCTCCAGGATTGCCGATAAAAAATTTAAACTTTGAAAAATGGGACGGTGAAGCAAAGAATGTCAGCACAAAGAATGTAGCTAGTAACAATGTTGGTGCATACGTTTCTTTTTTGTTTAGAAGGAAACCCCGGAGTAGGTTGGATTTCAGGTATGAACAGGCGTAATTAATTGGGGATAACTATCTAGGGTTGGACCCTGGGCAGATTTCAAAGTGTGTACACGGTATTAGACAAAATTGCAGAAAATAGTGTTTTTAAAAGAAGAATATATGAGAAATAAGGGGTTTGCAGTACAAGAATTTTGAAGATAACATAAGACAATAACTGTTTCAATCTTAAATGTATTCAACATTTCCTATATCGACACAGATACGCAATGCCGAGTCCGGTTTCTTAATTTGAAAAGGTTATTCATCTCAAAAGGAAGGAAATACAAATAGATAACATTTTATAACAACACATTTCAATCAATGGAGTATCATTCTATGTTGCGTTAAAAAGAGCCGGAATATACCAAAGGGACAGTGTACAAAACACAACATAGAAAACCAGACTGAGCAAAAACGAACCCCACCAAAACCGTTGGTGATCTCGGGTGCTCCGGAAGGGTAAGCAGATTCTGCTCTACATATAGCATCTGTAGCATGTGTCGTGTTGCTCATTTAAGTCAAACTTATGTGATGTTACATTCGAGGAAGAAGAACACGGGATTGTGGGTAATATTATTTTTGATTTGGATTATCCAGAACAATAGATATAAGAAGATGTGGTATGAGTGCCAATGAGACAACTCTCCATCCAAGGCACAATTTGTAAAAGTAAACCATTATAGGTCAAAGTACGGCCTTCAACACGGAGCCTTGGCTCACACCGAAAAGCAAGCTATAAACGGACCCAAAAATGACTAGTGTAAAACCATTCAAACAAGAAAACCAACGGTCTAATCTATATAAAAAATACTAACCTGAATATTGATTTCAATAGTTGCGTCATTTCTATTTCTGTTTCATGCCACATTGTGGCACAAGCATAAATCTTTGACCGCTCCTCTGGTTTGTTGCATTTGTCATGTTTTTGGTTGGGTCTTTTTTTCTCTTTTTCAAATCTTTTATTTCTCTCCTAAAACGGTCGTATTCATTACATAAATGTTTCATAAGAATCCATAACTTTGATTTGCAGACCACACTAGCGTGGCATTCAACAATTATGTTTTTCTTCCAAATAAAATGCATCACTTAGGACTGCACGAGCTCATCATGCCAACAATACATAGAGACACAACTAAAAGATTGATTTAAGTCGTATTTTGATGGTTATAGCATAACAAATGCAAATATAAGTATTGCATTTTTGTTATTTTAATTGGATGTTAAAGCGTTGATCTTGCGAATATCTTTAGTATGAAACCGGAATCAATCAACGTTTTAACATCTTAATAAAATTACATTTCGCGCTTCATACTGAATATGTGGGCACAATCAACGCTTTTATAAAATTTCAAAAAAATAAGCATACATTTCTTAAATATTTTATAGTACGAATGTCACACGTGATTAAATCTTTACTATGCATCATACAGTTTTCAATACCAAACGAATGTGCCTCATCCCCCCGTTTTACCATGAACAATCTTATAATTAATAGCAATTTGGCCGAAATAAACTTGCTTGATAATGACTCGACTGCGTTTGCTGTTGGTGGTTTAATAGATTATTTAACCTTTTATAAAGTAATTCTAAATTGGCCCCTTTACTTTTGAATCTTTGAATCTTGATGCAGAACACAGCGCCCAAAATAATTTAAATTTGCTTAAATATGAAACATACGAATAACATTTGTACAATTGTTTGAAATTTGTTTTCCCAGTAAAACAATATAATGGTTTACAGTACATACCATTTCTCTGATGAAATCGAACTCTTTATCCTTTTGACTTCTGTTCAGTAACAACGACAGGTCTGTATGTATACCACAGTACATAGGTAATATAAACATTCTGTGAAAATATAACGGTCTTTTATATTAGAAAATCAGGACATATCAATTCACAATAATCAATATGAGTCATAATTAATACTCCGCGGTCGATTAAATTAGTTGAAATACGTCTACACTTCCCATATATCATTTCACTGTATAAAACGCTTTATCCTGATTTAGAGTAGTTTCTCGCAATTTGATTAGCTAATATTATTGTCCTAATAAATTTCAGTGCATTTTTTTTATTAAGTCAATTCGAATTATCTCCCTTATACCATTGACTTAATAAAAAAAATTAAGTGGTGTGATAACAAAATCAAGATAAATTCGTTACACAGTGTGCAATTGTCTTAATACGGAATTTATTGGGTCAATAAAATTCATATCGGGTTTGGCTTCGCCCCAAAATACGATTAAGGTAGTTAAAGAATCGATCTTTTTTTATCATTAGCACGAAAACATACTTTGCACGGAAGATACCGACCCATTATCTATTTTAAGCATGAGGTAGCAGACGTCCTTAGTGTTTTGTTTTCGCAAGCACCCCTTCTCTGTATTTCGTGTCTCAGATTTTGGGACTTCAAAAGCAAGTTTCTGGATAAAATTTACACTTCGGCGACATATTTTCGCATGATTCATATATAAATGAATTCTTATCATAGATACCAAGATAAAAATATTGTACACCAGACGCGAGTTTGGTCAATAAAAGACTCATCAGTGACGCTCGAATAAAAAAAGTCAAAAAGGTCAAATTAAGTAGGAAATTGAAGAGCATCGAGGACCCAAAATTCCGAAAAGTTTTTCCGAAGAAGTTATCAGTCAATGTATAGGTTGTCTCCCTAGTATTGTGTCCATTCCGATAATAACGAATTCGATAGTGCTTAAAATACACTATTCTTTAAGCTTAAGGCCAAGTTGAAGTTCTTGTTATCTTACCTTTGGGTTTTTCCTAATATAAAGCCGTTAGTCGTCCATATGTAACTTGAAATAAACAGTATAGATATATACAGCAGTAACCCACCAGCAACAAGAGGCCAGCTGTCAGATATATTCTCCATAGATTCAAGGTTCCAGCGGGAGAAAAACATATCACAGTCTTTGAAATCTAAAATATCTGGATATGATACAAGTCCTTGTAGAGCAAACGGTGTCAAGACAGGTGTCAGTATAAGCGGTATTGAGAAACACAATATTTGACATCCGGTCACACATGCTGTCTTTGCAGCCTTTGCACATATGTAACTACTGCATATGTTTACAGCAGCAACGACGTATGGAATATATGCCTTGCAGATGTCAGTCTTACCAAGAAAATGGCCACCGAAATCATATTTTAATCTAGATTCGTCCGAATTGAAAATAGCTTTGATACCATCTAAAGCGTTTTCAGCTTGTATTGCGTACAAAACGAGGATTGTTATAAAAGATATTATGATTTTCCAGAAGCTAACAATACACAAGATTTTTGTTCGTCTTGTTTGGTAGATCCATTTCAAATGTGACAGCCAGTTGCTTTTGTCGGCAGATGATTTCACAAAATTTTCCCAGTACGTCAACGAAATGAATATTGCTGATACCACAAAAATGATAACTAATACAGTGTTATCTACGTTAAGATTATTCCATGACATGTAAACACATATTAAGGCAATGCCACCTATCTGCAGTAAAACTCCAAATACTGTTACAAAGTACCTACATGTATCGCCTTTTCTTTCACCATTGTCTGGTCCATTTCTCGTACACGTACTTACTAATTCGATTAATGGCAGTAATACTAATTTTGACATATACACAATCGAAGCGGCGGGGGCATTAAAGGTCGGTAAAACTATATATACAAAACACACCAAACCAATACTGTGTAAACTCTCGAAAAACAATATCTGCAAAACAGCATAATATCCTTATTTTACATTAGACTGTGTTAATAACAGAAATTTTGTATACGCTATATATCCCAGTTACGGTACAAATCTTAAAAGAGCTAGAAGTACTCTAAGACTAGAGGTTTACTTACAAAATGGTTTTGATATCTAAACAGTTATGTCCCTTATCTGATACAGTTAGAGTGCGTAAACTAGAAATATTTCATATATTCTATAGAACTAAAATTAAAATTAGTAATAATATATTTATATTAGGTGTGCTAAATGCGAATCCTCCGTATCTTTTATAATGTGATTTTATACTTACCACAAACACACTTTTAAAGTGAAGCACTCGAGTCTTTTTCAAACACATAGTTTTTAGAGATGAACACATAGTAAAGCCATACGGAGCCACTATTGTGATAAACAATGCCCATATCCAAGTTTCATCCACAACATGATAGAGTGACTGTTTAGTTTGGAACGTGGCATTTGTATCATTGTTTCGTGGCAGTTCTGGCGGCTTTATGTGCCACACAAGGATATGTATCGTTACACGTGATAGTAATGCTGTACCGGAAACGACAAGGAAAAGAAAACCAACAAAAATCACTGTCAAGATCTTTTCAGAAGTTTTCCAGAACTCGTCAGACTTCACATACTTAGCTGCGCTCCTGTTTTCTTGGAAAATATCCCAATCACTAAAACAGAAAACGACAATTTTGATATTTGTTTTCTTTATTGTAGTATTAATTCTCACTACACTCATTTTAACTTGGTTTATAACGTTCTTCGCATATTAAATAGCTTGTTTATTATAATTAGACCTCACCTTTTTTGTAACGAAATTGCTTTCTTTTGTCCAATAGGGGCAATTGTTATTTTTCTTGATACTTTTAGTTGACATTAGACCGTTGGTTTTCCTGTTTGAATGGTTTTACACTAGTCATTTTGGGGCCCTTTATAGCTTGCTGTTCGGTGTGAGCCAATGCTTCGTGTTGAAGGCCGTACTTTGACCTAGAATGCTTTACTTTTACAAATTGTGACTTGGATGGAGAGTTGTCTCATTGGTACTCATACCACATCTTCTTATATATAATTACCAAAGTCGTAAAATTAGGTTTTGTTCAACGGTTGCTGTCTATTTGACTACAGTATACCTTTCACATATCATTCCATCAAGTGTTATAGTTGTAATAATCAGTCAAAATATAGATGCTCGCAAGACGAGTACATGAGTTACGATAGATCTAAAAAATCCGATTTATAGTTGTAATTGTTCACGCCACTCGTGTCGCGGGAGATATAGTAATTATGGTATTCGTCCGTTCGTCCAAAACACAACAATACTTAGAGACTGAATGGTCCATTGCCGCTCGATCCGCGGGAGATGTATAGAAATGGTATTCGTCCATTCGTCCAAAACACAGCAATACTCAGAGACTGTTTGATTGAAATCTTTGGTAGGATTGTTAACTATAATGGCCATATTATTCCGTTATTTTGATATGACTATTTTTTACGTGTATAATTGGACTTTGACTTTTTGGGGAATAATCTATCAACTTGTGAACTCCTCTGACAACTTTTGACAGAAATTTAGTACTCTTACTTGGTAGGATTCTTTGCCATTAATTATATTGTTCCGTCATTTTAATCAAGTCCCACCGGAGTTATGGGACTTTGACTTTTTGGACAATCCTACCACTATGTCACCATGTGAACAACTCTTCTGACACTTTTTGACATTGAGCCCATTTTTTTTTTCTTATATTTTTTTTTTATTTCCAGATGTCTTTTCATATATACAAAGAAATCCAGTGTATAATGCATATCCTTTAATTAGCAGAAACACCACCTTAAAATGTCAAGAATAAAGCAAAACATACAGAATATCGAAATACACTTTACAATGTAATGTATGTTCCTGTTATATATATATCTCTATACTGAACACACAATTGTATTCATTATTTACTGTGACATGGGGCGGAGAATCTTGCTCCTCATAGATCTTTCTGTCGGTTTAATATCAGAGCAGTTGATTGTATAAACATGCTGCACTTGGGTGAAGGTGTTATGGTAGATCAACACACGAGGGATACAAATTGTCCTCCAAGACGATATATGTGATATTTTTTTCACCGAGTGTGTTAATCACCCCAACGCCTTCATTCTAGGGCAATAAAATTGAGAATGGAAATGGGGAATGTGTCAAAGAGACAACAACCCGACCACAGAGCAGACAACAGCCGAAGGCCACCAATGGGTCTTCAATGCAGCGAGAAACTCCCGCACCCGGAGGCGTCCTTCAGCTGGCCCCTAAACAAATGTGTATACTAGCTCAGTGACAATGGACGCCATACTAAACTCCAAATTATACACAAGAAACTAAAATTAAAATTGATACAAGACTAACAAAAGCCAGAGGCTCCTGACTTGGGACAGGCGCAAAAATGCGGCGGGGTTAAACATGTTTTTTGAGATCTCAACCCTCGGGGGGAGTCCCCCTATACCTCCAGCAAATGTAGAAAAAAACAAACGTACAACAGTACGCACAGTAAATATATGTTTTTTTATTATACTTAATGACTTATGATTCAAATGTGCACTATGTTATTAGAAGGACAACTGTAAAAAGATGAAGTCATAAATGTTAGATAGTTCAGTAATAATTATAACAAAAAGATGTAGAAATAAGAATCGGTAAACCTCGGCCGGAGCGGATGTTAATTGTTCCGGATCGGCAAACTTCGGGCTCAGTGCCGGGGTACCGGTGTTTATTCTAGGTATTAATACCCGTTGCTAATATTATCACAAGTTGCTATGGGTGGGCGGGGCTTATGAAAGGTTAGTGAAAAATTAACAAATGCCGTGTGTCCAATGAAATGAATGGATAATATAAGAAATTTGTATAAAGTATAATAATAGAATTTAGCTATTTGGATAAATCTTAAAACAATACATGTAACTAAATCTAAAGATTACAATATAAGTTTGTTTTTTTTTAATCTCAACCCTTCCCTGTTTACTCACATGGTTTGTTGGTCTTGATTTGGTTCTCCTGTTTCATTAGTACTTGATGTTATTTTGTCCTCATCGTCCTGGCTGAACCCTTTATTATCATGTGCTGCCATCTTATCGATCTATGCCGTTATAGAAAAAAAATAAATCAAAGACTTAGAATTAAAACCGCTACTGGATATTTCTTTTAGTCTCTTTATAGATAGACTTATATTTACATATTTTGTTTTTTTACTTTAGTTGTATTTGTCTATTGTAAAAACTGTGTTTGTCTCTATTGAATCTTTTCGCTGTCACATTTTTCAAAAAGCCAGAGGTTATGTTTATGGCGTTGTTAAATTTTCTTTCCATCTTATTAAGCTACGCATTTTAATGTAAAAAATTAAAACCAAAGACTTAGAATTAAAACTGCTACTGGATATTTCTTTGCGTCTCTTTATAGTTAGGCCCAGTTTTATACATATTTTGTTTTCAATTTAGTTGTATTTGTCTAGCATGAGAATCGTGTTTGTCTCTGTTAACTTTTTCGCTGCCGCTCGTTTTCAAAATAGCCAAAACGATGTTATGTTGTTCTTTACTACTTCAACGGAGAACATTTTGAATAATACAAAATAACTTTAAATGTGTTTTGTGTATAACTAGATAGAACTAAGTTGTACATCACTTGCATTGACATGTTTGTCTTTGATTTGTGTGTTTTATTTGGTTTTCGTGTGAAAAAAAGAAAAGTAAACATTAACTATATTCGAAAAAAAATTGAGAATGGAACCGAGGAATGTGTCAAAAAGACAACAACACGACCAAAAAGCAGAAAACAACCCAATACCACCAATGGATCTTCAACACAGCGAGAAAATAATCTGGAGGCGGGCTTCAGCTGGCCCCTTAACAATAATGTGTACTAGTTCAGCGAAAATGGACGCAGCACTAAACTCCAAAACATAGATTACCATAATTAAAAAAAAAACACACAGGACTAACAACACATCTTTACCTTCTCTATCTTTGATTGTCAATCAAAATAAATAATACTGTTCTCAAATACTTCCCCATATGATATTAAAGACTTACCGACTTTGAGTTCACATGCGACGGTTTGAATTATATTGCATGATTCCAAATTCTGCTGTAATTAACATATACATTACTGATTATTAGAAATAAAGGCGCATTTTTACTTGGAAGTTCATAAAAACATTTATTTATGTGTACATTAATTTTTATTTATAACTTTTGTGGATTTTTAAAACAATCTGTTAAAACACAATGACCCAGAAGTGTATTGGTTTCACGACAAAATAAAGCATGTTGCATGACCATGACTTTGAATAGAGAACGTACACAAATGTCTTTGTTAAAGGATTGATATATAACTTTATTCGATACTACTGTATGAGGGTCTAGATTTAGGAAGGGATCCTTCATGTCTTTATTCTTTATCTGTTATAGCCATGTTTTTTCTATTCTTTATCTATGTTGACCATTATTCTCTATTCTTTATGTTTTAGCCCTCAATTATTCTATATTCTTTATATTGTAGCTCTCCATTATTCTCTATTCTTTATTGTTTTGGGGTCTATTCTTTTTTTGTTGTTTGCCCTTTATTCTGCACTTTTTTTACCATTATTCTCTATTCTGTATATCCCATCCACACCCTCCTGTATACTACAAAGGAATAATCAAAATGCCAGATAATAATCCAAATCTATTGTCTTATTGTATATTGCTCATTTATTATAGGTTATATATATAAATACTTTGCAACGTCAGGGGCCGATGATGTCATACAGGAAGATTGGATATTTTAAAATAGACAAATAATAATGGAAGTCATTTATCATGTTTATGTTAAAAAGGGGGCGAAACATAGTTGAACTTCTCCAAAAAGATTCAGAATAATACCCTAATATTTATCTCTTTATTGAATATTCATGTAGGAATATTATAAGCAAACCTATGAAAATAAACAAAATTAAATGTAAGTCGGGTAATGACAGAAATATCGTCAGAAGAATTTGTTTTACCAGTTTGAAAAAGTACTGGACGATATGTCACCAACAAGGGCTCACATTTTAAAATGTACATAAATTCCGACTATGATGTTATATATATATATATATATATATATATATATAAACCAGATTAGTGAAATTAACATGGAATAATAGTATTAAATTAATATATTCAAATGTAGCTTTGTTGGTTAGAATTACATTTTCGGTATATGAATTAAGACGGAATCGTGATCTACTCTAAAATTAAGTGATGTGCATATTCGATGAGATCAGAGTTTAAGATTAGCTAGCTATGTGTGTGTTTAACCGGTTTTCCCAAGATACATGGATACTTAATAACTGGATGAACTATGACGTATGCCTTAAATGAATAAATTAAGTACAATGTCGGCGAGAAGAGGAGCACCGTTAGTTTCTATAGGAATGTCGACTTCTGTTGAAAACGAGACAAATATGTTGTCAATAAACGAATCAAGCAATATGCAAGTTCCTCAATAATTCTGACCCGGTATAGATGGTTCCAAACATTTGAATGCATGCGACTCTCTATAATTTCCTCGTACTTTTTTCATACTCATTTATTAAAGACAGAGTGAAATAATAAGTCAGACTGTGTTTCTTAAAAATTACACAACACAGATATAACTATCTATCTTGTTTTAAGCGAACAAATTATATTGTGTGAAAAAAAAACTCTGATTCAAACAAGCTTTACTATGAAATACACGTGGTAACGTTGATTTCTCTTTATACATGTACTTCTCTATTTTATTTCCTTGGTTAATGATTGGACGAGACGAGACAGTTGTCTCACTGCCGCAATCGAAGCTATGCCATTGTATACATTTCGGGTATGCATTTGCGTTGCATCGAGTTTGTCGTTTGTCTGACTTCATTAAAAAAAAACGGTCTCGCTCTTTTATTAATCCAGAATCTTACATAGATACATTTGTGTTTAAGATGGAACATCATATATATTGACTGTCGATAATACCATGAGGGGCTGTGTCTTTCATTTCTTTATTAAATGTTTAGACCATTTATCTCTATTCTTTCTATTATTCTCTATTCCTTATCTTTTTTGCCCATTATTCTCTATTCTTTATACTTTTTAAACACCATATTTTTTCTCTATTCTTTAATTTTTTGGCCTATTTTCCTCTATTCTTTATTTTTTGTTTTGGGCTCTTTAATCTGTACCTTTTGCACATTATTCTGAATTCTGTAAAACGAATCCAGACCCTCTACTATTCCCAGGTTTGAGTAGTTATTGAAATTCAGATAATACAGCGTTTTCGTTTCATTTCAGCGAATTTGTTTTGTTACGTTCCGTTTTAATCTGTTTCATTTCATTACGTTTTTTTGCTTATATCTTTCCGCACTTTACACTGCGGTAACCGGTCTTGGCGTCAGTTTTCATTGGTGGAGGAAGCTGGGTGCCTAAAGAGAACCACCGACCTTCGGTCACCGTAGGAAAACTAACAATCCTACTCGATTCAGATTGGAGTCAAGTGCACCTGTCACGTGCGAGGTTCTAACTCACAACCTCAGGTCACTTCTTAGACCACGCTGCCACCAGGCCCCCACAAAAACGTGTCTGTTTAGATATGAAATTTCCTTGTTTTGTGACCCTGGACGAACTCTAAACTAAAGCGACATTGACACATTGACCTTTAGTGTTCGGATCCCTTTACAGAATAGTCTGAATACTAGTTAAATAATTTTATTACAATATGTTAAAACGTGCCCTACTAGTGCTTTCATTTCATATATTAATATTCATAGAAGTTTTTCGAGAGAGCCATCTTCCAAAAGCTAGTTGATTTTTTTCAAAATATTTTTCACCCATATTTATCTGCCTTTAAAGAAGGATACGGCTGCCAGACAGCACTTTTGAAAATCATTAAGGATTGGAAGAAGGCTATTGATGATAATCAATATATTGTGACAGCTATTTAAGTAACAAAAAAACAATGTGTAAAATTTGGTATAGATATAAGTACCTGGAAAGATATATATAAAGGTGTGCCGCAAGGCTCTATATTTGGACCTGTACTTTTTAAAATTTTCTTGAATGTTATTTTTCATTTTGTATCAAGCAGTTCATTATATAATTATGCAGATGATAATACTTTGTCATATTCACATTCTGATATAGTAACTCAGTCTGTTGTAGATATCTTAGAAAAGAAAGCCTAGAGCTAATTAATTGGTTTAGTTTAAATCATATGAAATTAAGGCCAACCATGGACAAGTTTCAGGCAATAGCCATTGGCAAGAAAACTGAAAATAAAATTTCTTTTAATTTAGATGGCAATATCATACATTGTGAAAAAGAAGTGAAATTACTTGGTATAACAATTGACTATCAACTTAAGTTTGATGCCCATATTTCTAATATTTGTAAAAAGGCACCAAGACAGTTACATATGTACTTAAACGTATTGGTAAACATTTAACAAAATTAGGTAGACTTACTATATATTATTCATTTATCATGTCAAATTGTAATTATTGTCCAGTAGTATGGCATTTCTGTGGTGATTGTAACACAAGAAAAATAGAGAAAATACAGGAACGTGCCTTACGATTTATTTATGAAGACTATTGTAGCACTTACCAACAACTGTTAATTAAATCAAAACTACCAAAAATCAGAAGAATTAGAATGATAGCAACAGAGGTGTGTAAAATTATAAATAAACAATGTCCATTATATTTTCATGAACTCATTAAATTAAAAACTGTAATTACTCTTTCAGAAATAATAATATAGCAGATGTTCCCAGGGCAAGGACAACTACCCATGGGCTACACTCATTCAGATATGCACGAACTGCCGAATAAGATGAGGGAAGAAATTCCTTTGGGTCAGTTCAAAAGTTTGATTGGTAATTGGGAGGACAGTTCGTGTCAGTGTTCCTCCTGCAGATATAAGAGAGCTGTAGATCACTTATTTATCTTGTATACTCTGGCTTTTATATTTTGTTGCATTCTTTTTTATTTGTGTTTTAAATGCTAGCCTACAATTACTTTTAGTGCTTTATACATGTTATACAATAGCTTTTGCATGAATGTTAGTTTGTCTGCATTTTATGTTTGCTTTATATGCTTTAATTTGCTTATTTATTGCTATAATGTGATGTTCTTGATACAAATATTTATGCTTTGCATGATGTGCTTACTGTTTTATGTGTTTTATGTCTTGTGCTTATTAGGCGAGTGACTTATTTCAAAAAAACGCTTAGTTAACGACTTTAATGCACCCACCTAACACACGGCTGTATTATATATCATTCGAAAGCTAATAATCTGTACTTTCTGTTTCGTCCGGTCGTAAAAAAATCGCACGGTGCATTTTCTGTTAAATCAAGGTCAAAGGTCATGAAAAAACATTCCAATTTTTGCGATTACTAAACAGAAAGCCATTTTCTAATTCTTGTACCATAAAATTTTTCAAAAGATCATATGAACTTTATATAACATAATACATTATTTCCAAATCAAACAAAAAATAAGAGGTTATATGCGCAATATTTCCCGAAAATTGAAATTCATTACAAATCCTAAAAAAATGAAAAATTGTTCCAAAAGCAAAATATATCTAGGAGGATCGATATTTGTATGCTAAAAAAATAGATAAATAACATGTTTTAGGTCAAGGAATATTTGTTTTGTAATTTTAAGATGCAATTATTAATTATTGTTCATGGAACAGCCTTCTATTGAAGTGTTTGCAGTTGCCCAAAAATCTGCCATCTGCAAATAGCGATCATTTTGTTATTCTATGTTAAGATAGCACATCGCTAATTGTCAATATCAGGGAGGAGAATGATTTTCCATTATAAAAGAAGGGGTATTTAAAGTTCGAAAAGAATATATACGAGCTAATTGAGGTAAAAATATGTATTTTACGAAGTCAAACTTATTTACTTTTTTTAATTATGTTTAAATGCAAACATGACTTTGCGACTAAATCGTAGGCAACATTGAAATAAGTAACCTTGTTTACAAACACTTGGTTGTCTAAAGCGGGATATAAACGAACTACATGTAATGCTGCTGCTTCTTATTTAGTTTAAAATCGTGTTAGACATATTAAATGTGTTTA